CAGTTGAAGAGCTCTGAAGATGAAAAATACACAGAGAAGAGCTCTGTGGCACATTCTTTCTTTCACGAACAGACGTTGTTCCAATGAAAGATATTACTTCACCTTTTCTGAAAAACGCTTGTCAGTTGAGACCCATTTTATTTAAATACAAACGTGAAAATAATTTCAATTATTTATTCTTTTTTAAAATAAAAGAGTACCCATACAATGCAATGGACACAGAACAATAATTAGCCATGTTCAGTCATAGAACTACTAAACAGATGTCACTGTCAAACAAAGAATTACATATTCTGCTCTCAGATACACATCTGATTGCTTTCAACAGGAATTCTTCCACAGACATTCTACAGCCCACTTTGTGCAATGTGTTCTCTAGATTTTTTTTTTAAACTCTTAACATTAGATATGCAAGTAGTTTAAGTTTCGCATGTACCAGCAGTTATTCAGGAGACCACTGGAGGTCTCACTAAACTTTCTAACATTACAGGCATCATAGGGATGAAAATTTCTTAAATTAATTCTCAATCAGCTGTTATTCACTAAGAGGCTAAGGCACTTGTCCTGCATTCTAATTTTTATGGAGGACAGGACATTGCAGGAGAAACTATATCTACATCTTTAATTTCCCTAGTATTTCTGTGCTAGTGACTCAGAGTTTCATGGCAACAATGCACTGGAAGATTAAGATGGGCATGAGTGTTCTTTTTATTTACTTCAGTCACCTTTTTCAAGGCTCAAATATCACAGAAGTAAATTAGTAGTGTTTATTCTTCAGCACATCAGTTTTAGAGTCAGTAATATTTTGTACAAAGAAGCCACAGCATAAAGTGCATCATGATGACCACCTGATCTTAAGGCATGTCTTTCACCTCTTTCCCACAGATGTAATTGATTCTCAATAAGAAGGGAGAAAAAAGCTGGGAAACCTAAGGGTGTGTCTAGACTACAGAGTTTTGTCGACAAAAGTGGACTTTTGTTGACAAAACTAAACCTGCGTCTAGACTACCGTTGAGTTCTGTCGACATAACGTCGACAGAACTCAGCAGTTTTGTCGACGCCGGTAAACCTCATTTTACGAGGCATAACGCCTTCTGTCAACAGAGTTCTGTCGACAGAAGGTGTTATTGCATGTAGGGTTGTGTCTAGACTACAGGGTTTTGTCGACAAAGCAGCTTGCTTTGTCGACAGAACTGAATGTAGTCTAGACGCTCTTTGTCGACAGAAGCTTTGTCGACAAAACCCTGTAGTCTAGACGTACCCTAAGATACCCTTCCCACTTCTCATAAATAAAGGAGGGATTTATGATCCATTTTGGAGGGAAACATAGTGTCTCAGAAACTTGGGTGAGGCTTCCTCAATGTGAACATTTTGAGGCTAGGCCATTGCTAATTCACATACACGGCAACTGTATTTGCTGGCAGAAATGTATATATTTATATTACACAGAGAGGACCCAATTCTCTGCTCACTTACATGGGAGTAAATCAGAAGGAATTACATTTACAATACTAGGATATCCATTTTTATAGAAGACCCTAACCAGTTCTACAGACACAGAGTAATAAAAATGGGAAATCCCTTTTAAATGTACATCCAAGTCTAAACATCAACCAAAACTGATGCAGAAACTGCTATACCATCCTGCTATCTGAATGCTTTCTGGACACAGAACTATGCCAAAAGATCTTAGAGGAAAAAACATGTTCAGAAGTTCTAAAATATAAATAAATCAGATTATGGTGGTATAAATGCAAAAATTAATATTCAGCTCAAACACATTTTACTTCATAATACTTTTCCTTTTGCAGACAAAACAGATACAAAGCAGCATTTGCACAACAATGACAAAATACTGAACGTAATAATATGCTACCTGTTTAAAGTGGTATCAGACCTGTATCGGCCAAGTAACACTTTCTGATCTTCCTTTTCATTTAAGTTACTGTTACAAAGAAAAACTAGTTAGACATGTAATCAAAAACAAACTAATTTTAAAATTTGCATTTGTTTGCAAAAATGGCATTTTATTCTAATAAACATATATACACATGTATTTTAACATTTTAATTCATTTGATCAAATGAATTAAACAATATGCAAATTTTGATTTAAGACATAATGCAGTACTCAGATATATTCAGAATTAAAGACCTGATTCTATTTCCGTTGAAGAAGTTGATAGGAGGTAAGTAATTAATGACAATGGGAGCAAGACAGGTTTGAACTGAACAAAGCCAGTTCTTTGAATAAATAGGATTTTCATGTGTTTATTTTCCTTTACCTTTGGCAATAGCAGTTGAAAGATGTATAGACATACAACTTACTGTACCTGTGTAAGCTCTCTTGAGATTTGTATTGGTTAAGCACAACTCTGCCATAGTTTTCATTAGTGCTGGGGGAGGGGGGGAAAAAGCCAGATCTTTAGTGAAAATCAGATTATTTAAATAAAGTCCAAGTTCTTGACAAAGATTCATCTCCTGACTCAGATCTCACACCAGTTTTAAACCACAGTAACTCCACTGACAGCAATGCTTGTCTGTAAGCTCTTTGGAACAGGGACACTCTTACTATGTATTTGTACAGTGGCCTGAACTTATTTGGGCTTCTAGGCATTATTGCAATACTAATCATAATAACAGAGCTCCACTGTGTAAAAGTGTTGGTCCCGGTTCAATTACATTCCTTAAATAAATCTGTCAAACATTAAATGAATGACTTGTTTCCAGGCATGGAAAAGCATATGGGAATATCATCTAAAGTTCATCCAGTGAAGTGCTGAGAACATCTGGCAAGATGCTGTGCACCCCAAACTCCCACAGAGATAACAATGGAAGCAGCGGGTGTTAACAGCTTGCAGGACGCACTTAGCAGCAGTTCCTCTCAGAGTTGGGCCAATAGAGATTTTACAGTGAAATAAATGCAAACTCACTTGCATTACTCATGCAAAAAAATCAGACAATATAAAAACCAGAAGAGTAAGTTAACTTGCAGTCAAGGATATATATGTTGTATATGCTCTTTACTGCCTAAGCTGAAATTATTCTGTCTTTACCTCTCCTCTGGTCTTTTCTTTATCCAGCTGTTATCCTGCAACAGGCTCCTTCGTTTGCTGTTGTCATCTTGAATAGCCTGTTGCCTGCTTTTCCCTGTAGGAGAGGGACTCTTTACATCACTAAATGTACCTATTGAAAAAAAAAACAGTGCAATACAGTTCTAAAACTTAAGAGCATAAGAAATATTTGTTTTTCTGAGAAAGTTTGCACTATATCTCTACATATTATAGTGCACAAGTTATACCTTAACTTTAGCACAGCTTTTGATATAGTCTCCACTAGTATTCTTGCCAACAAGTTAAAGAAGTATGGCACAGATGAATGGACTTAAAGGTGGATAGAAAGCTAGCTAGATCATTAAAAATACTTGGACTTTTCAGCTTAGAAAAGAGTAGACTAAGAGGACACAATATAAGAACTAGGGGTCACCAAATGAAATTAATAAGCAGCAGGTTTAAAACAAACAAAAGGAAGTTTTTCTTCACTCAGCGCACAGTCGACCTGTGGGGAATTCTTTTCCAGAGGATGTGGTAAAGTCTAGGGCTTTAACGGTGTTCAAAAATGAGCTAGACAGATTCATATACAATATAATAGAGGTTAGGTCCATCAATGGCTATTAGCCAGGATGGGTAGGACTGGTGTCCCTAGCCTCTGTTGGTCTGGAAATGGGTGACAGGAGAGGACTCACACGAGGATTACCTGTTGTGTTCCCTCCCTCATGAACATCTGGTATTGGCCACTGTTGGCTGACAGAATACTGAGCTAGATGGACCTTTGGTCTGACCCATTATGGCCGTTCTTATGTTCTTATGTCAGTGTCAGTGGATAATGATCAACAGCTTGATGTCTAGGCAGATGGTTTCAACTGGAGTGCCACAGGGATCAGTCCTGGGGCAAGTTTTATTCAACATCTTCATTAATTATCTGGAGTGGGAGGGGTGGAGGGAGGGCATCGCAGATTGCCCACTGGCTTTGGCCTAAGGCACATCCCATTGTCCTGGCACAAACAAACCCTCACCTGGTTTTTAGTTATAAAAAGAAGAAGCTGCATACCAAATGTGGTGGTCCTAGCTCTTACTATTTAAGAGGAGTTCTTGAACAAATGCACTCACAGATGGATGGACAAACACACATATCTAAAATGAGATGGACTGAACTCTCAGCAAGTTTTCAGATGATACTATACGGGGGGAGAGAGGTAGATATGCTGGAGGGTAATTATAGGGTCCAGAGTAAGGTTCCCTCTAAGCCTAGCCACACAGCTGCTAAATGAACCCTGCCCAGGGCTGCCGTGCATGGAGCCGCCTGGCTGGGAGAAGGGCACTTCTCCCTCAACTATCTACCAGCTAGGAGAGACTCGCTGCTCTGTCCTCAGCAGAGAACTGCCACTGTAGTTTAGGGGGAAGTGCCCCTCCCCCAGCAAGGCAGCTTCATGTGCAGAACCCTAAGCTCCTGAGTGGGGCTCATTAAGCAGTTGCATGGCTGTGCTACCACGCAGCTTAGAGGAATGCTTGGTACAGAGTAACACAGACAAACTGGAAGATTGAAACCACCATTAAGGATACCCACTTACTCAATAAATTGGAGTGCTTAAGGAAAAATGGGTTCTGCATCCATTGTATTGGGAAGCCTGTTGGGTTATGTATATACGGTGCCTACCACCCCAGCACAGAAACTTCAAAAGTCCTTGGTTCACTCAAATGGATTTGAGCAGATATAACAAAAATCATTCAGATTGAAAGTATATGGTTATACTCGGTGGATGGGTCTACACAGCAAAGTTATTTCGGAATAACGGCTGTTATTCTGAAATAACTATGCGAGCGTCTACACAGCAATTCCATCATTTTGAAATAATTTCGAAATAACAGACAGCTTATTCCAACTTCTGCAAACCTCATCATATATATAGTAGCACATTGTCTGTGAGTCTGTAACGCTGACATACATGGCCACGTCCCCTGGCCGTGTACATCAGCACCCCGCCCCCCTTCCCTCCCTCCGTGGCGGTTCGGCCAGCCCCACGGCCCCCC